ACCTTGATTGCTACAGTAGGCGTTGGTTGCTTTTGTGTATTGAGATTATCTGGCTCCTGGACAGCACTAATCCTTAAAAAAGGGATGGGGGTCCTCATTCCAAAACATCCAAACCCACTTCCATTGGGTTGATTCCAATTCAAATGTAGGGTGGCTGAGACCGCAAATCCTTTTGGAGGCAGATAGCCTCGTCTTTCTCCAATGGGCAAGCTCGTGGGCTTGACTCTCTGACCTTCCAGTTAGCAGTGTAACCCATGGATCCTGGGATCCTTCTGACGGATCTCTATGTGAATCTCGCCAACCCTGGACACTCTGCTCTATAAAAAGAGCGGTCCAGGGAATGTCTTCTCAGCCCATTTACTTAAAAAACAAACAATCAAAAAAACAAACAAACCAGAGACAAGGTTGTTTTCATTCATTCAGGTGAAAAATACCAATATGAAATGTGTTAACGTAAAGGCAGTCTTAATTGGAATATTTTAGGGGGAATAAATGCATACATTTTAGCATAATTTGTATAATATGCTCCTTACTGAAGATAAAATTCAACATCTTTTGGGAATAATTTATGCTCTAATTCTCCCCGATGATGGATGTGATGATGGGTGTGAATCAGTGCACCACAGATGGTGCTGGAACAACAAACGAATGAATCGTGTTCTCTCTGCAGGTGACTCCAAGATTACCTCTGAGCTGATTTTGTGGGTGGTTGTTCGGAATTGGACCCTTTCCTATTCAAAACAGGCTGATAGGTCTTTATTGAGGTGTTACTAAGAATTACAGTGGATACGTTTGACAGTCGTCTTGCTGTTAGCTGCTTTAACGGCTTGCAGAGTAAAGAGCAAAAATTCCACCCATGGCTTCACAAAATTCCAAATTTCAGTCAGTTTCTCAGGTATTTTATTTGATTCCTCTAATGCTGATGTTGCAAACTGGTGGCCCAAGGGATGCAGTCAAGCTACAGGGGTGGTTTGTCCGTCTGTCTCCTACATGGCATTTTAAGAACCGGTTAAGTGAGAGGGCAATTTTTAAAGATCAGAGAATTTCATGAGTTCAAAATTTATGATTCATATTTTGAGAACACAGCTGGCCCAAAGGCGGGAGTGGCACCTGAACTGCCCTTGGGCCAGGGATGAATGCTTAACTGTTTGCTGGAGTGTCCCCTTGCCAGATTCCCGCACTGGCTGCCTCTCGGGCTCCTATCAGCGTTTGGATTGCAATTCTTCGTGTAACTTGCTCCTGGGGGCATCTACCCAGTATTTTTGCTCTAAGTATTCTACCACACCGGATGACTGAACAGGCCTAATGAAAGTTAACCACGGCTCTGGCCCCAGTGAGTCACAAATTGCCCTGGGAAGTCTATGGCCTTTTTTTTTTTTTGCCTTCTCTTTGTCTCATCTAACGGACAAGTGAAACCCAATTTCTTAGTTTCCATTTCAAATTGAAGAGGCAGTTCTAGAAAGTAGGAGCGAAATAGATGTCTGACTGGTAGCTGCATTCAGAAAGTCGAAAGCAACTGATCATTGCCGTCTTGGACAAGACAGGCAATTGACTAGGACCCTGGATCCCATCGGATGCTTTCATAGTCATTCCTCAGGCCTCGTCTTCTCTTTCTCCTAAGAGCAGACTACTCAATCCCACCCACCCCCCAAGACAGGTCCTTCTGTTCACATCTCTATTAGCTCTCCATCCTGTAGTTAACCTTCAAGTTTCTAAATAAACTCTCACTTTTTTATTTATTTCCTATATCACTGGGGTTTGGTGAATGGATTCTGCTTTCATTTCAGTCTGAGAAGTGGAATGATTTAACTATGAGATAGATGTACGAGTGGAGACAGGCTTAGAGTTACAGAGTGTGGACCAGAGAGGGGTCTCTGTTCTCGGCTTTAGTTCAGCCTTTGCTTGATTTAGTTCAGCCACTGGCACGGTGGCTGGGAGAATAAAGCCCTGGCTACCTTCCCTCCTGGGAGATTCTTTCATAACCAAGGACTTTTGAGGGGCAAATATTAGCCCCAACTTACGATCTGTTTGAAAACAGGTTGTAGATGGTATTTCACAGAAATGCCGAGTGGAGTTCTTCTCATTACCGACTAACCAATGAGATCAACAGAATAATTGTGGGGTGCAAAGGGCCCAGCAGTGGTGATTTTCCTTTGTACATGGGGTTACTAAGAGTCTGCACTGATTCACTGGAACCCAGCAACAACAAAATATTGAATGACGTAGAAAGCATCAACAGGGAAAGGAAGGGGTCCAGCGAGTCATGGGACCACAAAGACCTGGTGAAGGGAGGGATACCCTTGCATTGCGGAGTGGATCACTGCCCTTGCAGGTAGGTTAAAATGGGACACCTTGCCATTTGATCTTGCTTTTGATTTAATGTACTTTAAACTTCTCAACTGAGGTTTTTCTATTTTTTTTCTTTTCTTAAATTTTTGTTTTGATTTTGTCTGTTTTTCTGTATATGAAATCCAGGATAGGCAAATCTATAGAGACAGTAATTGGATTAATAGTTTCCTAGGGGCATGGCAGGGCAAGTTGGCAGAAAATAGGGAGCTGATAAGTACAAGGAAAAAGAAATGTTGTAAAATGGATTGTCACAGTGATGACTGTACAACTCCTGTATATGACTGAATTACTGAAATGCATGATATGTGAGTCATATGTCAATAAAACGGTGGAGCAAAAAAGAAAAAGAACTGGTTGAGGCTCAACCATTTCAGGAGGTACTGTATGTTCAAGGGCAGATGCTACTGAAGGAAGACATTGAAGGCATTGGTGAAAAACAAGATGATCTACCAGAATGCACTACTTTAAATAGCCAACAATATCATGAATTCACATGTATAAATTTGTACTGAAGATAATTCAAATAAAGTTGCAGCAGTACATCGACATGAAACTTCTGAAATTCAAGCCAGACTCAGATGAGGGCATGGATATCATGTGGATAACAGATGAATCTTGGCTGAAAGTAAAGAATACCAAAAGGATATTTACCTGTTTTTTAATGACTGCGCATAGGCATTCAACTGTGTGGATCATAACAAATTGTCGATAACATTGTGAAGAATGAGAAATCCAGATTCTAGAATACCTCCTGAGTGATTCTTAAGGTACTTGGAAAACTTAGGCTGTCACCTGGAATGCAGTGCTAGGAACTTGCTTACTTGGTAAAGCCTCCACTATAGCACACTGAGCCAGGCAGTAAGAGGATGTGCTCTGGAATCAGATGAAATGACATCCCTAATTTGGACATTAGGTGAAAGGATTACATTTGTAAAATGAGGATTTAAATAGTACTTATGTCCCAGACTAGAGAGGACTACTGAAATAATACATGTGGAGTAAAAGCTAGAAAATCGTGTCCTATAAAAACTGCTATTGTTGTTAGTATTATTATCAGCCACAGTATAATTCTTGGCTGTCCCAAGTAACTATTAAATGAGACATGGGTCCAAAGTTAAAGTTTTCAAGGAGCTCACAGACCACTGAGATGCCCGGCTCACTGATAGAAACTCAATTTAAGTGGAAGGAAATTTTGCTGGAAAACAACTTGGCATATGGGTATCAACTCTGTCCCTAATAATTGAAGTCATTTAGGCTGCATTCTCTTTTCTTTCTCGTTCTCTGCCTTTCGGTTGCCTTGCTACATTCCAGTTTATTGCCAAAACTCAACAAAATGGAAATCACTACTTTAAATAGCTGTCTCAAATAGCTCTCATTTACAAAAATCTATGACAAGCTTCTCCCGTGGGGAATAAAAAGAACTGCATTGGACGAACTTATTTATGAAATTTTGGAAGAGTCTTTGAAGGCACCTCTATATCTGAAAATCAATTCAGACAGTAGTTTAATACTACAAGGAAAATTAATAGGCCAAGATTAGGCTGAATTTCTCAAAGACGCACAAACTATTATAGAAACAACAGGGTTAAAAAATAGGGGTTTAGGCCATTCTCTGCATCTTAACCATCTGGAGTTACTGAAAAGTATGCCACGTAACGACAGAGCTGCAGGACGTGTCTTGCTCGGGTCAAGGCTTGGGTCAAGGATACAGAAGTGGAATACAACACTAGTTCAAGAGAAATCAGAAGCCCCTTCAAGCCAAGAAATGTCCTCTTCCTCTCTGAATGGGAGATGACACAGCTTCGCTGTCCCTGCTGTACATCTTCAGGAAGGAAGGAAGGAGAGATGATAAAAAGAAGGAAGAAAGGGACTGTATTTTACTTCTCAGATAATGAGACCATCTCTTAGAAGGACTCTGGATAGCAGGTTGCTGACTTCCGGCTGGTCTCTTATATTTGCAACTAGCTCTTATAATTTCTCATCATCATTATCCAACAGACATCTTCTCATGGATGACACACGAAAGATAACGCTATTTCAGGGGTGGCATTACACAATCGGGGTTAACCTCTCTAGGTGCCTGTGAGGGTGAAGTACACAGCTTGCTAAAGTCTCCCTCCCAGCACTGCCTGGTGATCCATTTGACAACGATCTAGAATAGATAGCAACTTGGAGGCTGCAGTTGGTGAATTGCTCTGCAATCATCAGACTGTGGCCCAAGATATTTTAGAGAGTCAAATTACTGTTTAAGGAATCAAAAGTTGTATGAAGTTTGGTTATGCTTTTGAAATAACTGATAGGAACAAAGAAATGTATCTGGAAATTTCATTGTTTGCCAGCGAAGAGGAAGGTGGTACCACTGCCAATCAGTCAATGCTGACTCCTAGAAATTCTAGAGTTTTCAAGGCTGTGTTTCTTTACAGGCGCTCACGGTGGCTGGTGGATTTGAACCGCTAACCTTGTAGTTAGCAGCTAACGTCTCCTCTATAGCACCATCAGGGATCCTTACAAAGAAGGAAGTTATGTCTATTTAGCTCACCTCAGCGTCCAGGTAGTAGACTCGTGGTTTTCTTGAGAGAACTGAACGCTAAAAAACCAACCAGCAAACGAAACCCCACTACACCCGGCCACGCCTACACGAAACTCAGTACCTTAGCGTGCTTCTTCTTTAAAGAGCTTAGTTCCTTCTGCTGTTTCTTTAAATGCTTCAAGTAAGCCTGTAGAAAACAGAAAGAGGACCAAAAATAAAGTTTTTATAGACATAATACAAGGGTACTTGTAAAGTAGCCAAGGAATTTTACCTTCATCTGCTTTAAATCTTCTATCCTCACTTGAGGGATAAGTTCAATACCTAGAAATATAAAAAAGTTCAATCAGTTTATATTAAAAATTAGAATAACTGATAATGTAAAAAATATCTGTTTTAAAAGCTCAGCTAAAGACTTGGAAGCAGCTTTATGTGGAACGTTATGGATCTAAACATCTTAATGACCTATTACAAAGCAATTAGCTAGAAAATGAAAATGTTTATTGCTTTAGGTAGGGTTGCCCAGAGCAGAACCCCAGGCAAGGATTTGGTGTTTGAGTGCCTGTATAGAAATGAGAGAAAGTGTGAGAAAGCGGAGGATAAAGGTCAGGTCTATTTCCATCTGAAATCTAGCCTCTGGCTGATGCCACAGGCACTCGGGGCAGTGCTACCTTTAGGTGAGGACATGGACTTGTAACTCCATGCTAACTAGCTGACAGCTGAGTAGGTGTTCCAAACCCTCTGTCAGGTCCAGGCAAGGCAATCCAATGATCTGAGGGTGACCTCTGGAACAGGAGTTGGCAGGATTTGCTATATTCCAACACTTAAAGCCATCAGGGGATGGGACCCCACCTGCATAGAGAGGCACACAGCCTCTACTACAGTTATCTGATCTCTGTACTCGCAGCTAACTCCCTAGTCTACTCCTAGGTCTGAGTCTCATCAAAGAAAAGCAAACCATTTCCTTGTGCTTCTCTCTTGTACCAGAATTAATTGCAGCCTTAAGCAACAGGCCATATTGAGCAAAACAGTAGCTTTGACACACAGCAAATAGAAAACTGAAACCACTGTGTAACAGGATGCTGCCGAGAACTAGCTCACTAAGAGAAATAGACTAAGCCATTCTGCTATCTGATGCCAGGCCAGGTATTGCCATGACAACCTCTGTTGTACAAGCATTCTGAAACGCGTTCTGCGGGACTGCGGAGTTTCATCTTAGGCAAACAGACTGAATGTGTACTATGCACAAAAATTGATTTCCACGAGAATACCATAGGCTAGGTGTGCCCACTAGGAGGGCGTGTAATAAAATGGGGGTACATCTTGGCGCCGGCCTTCCTTTAGTCTTGTCTGTAAAATGTATATATGGATTTGGCAGCACAGAAGCCCCTCCAGAAATGCAGCAAACAAATGAGATTTCTTTGGCCCAGTTTGATGAGATTGCCTTTGGGGGGTGGGGGCGGGGGCGGGGTCTTGGTTCAATAAAGCTTTGATTAATAGGAGAATACCCAAAAAATGAAACAGAAACCTCACCTGGATTTGCTTACTCATTCTTTCTTTGCAAACGACACAAAGATTTCTTTAAAAATTGGGGTTCATATAAGTGATCTGGGGCCCTGGGGCCTAAAAGCTCATTTTGGAAACCAAATGGTCGGTGGTTTGAACCTACCTGCCACTCCTGAGGGAGAAAAAGTTGGTGGTCTGTAATGTAACCTTATAGTTTCAGAACTCTCTGGGGCACTTCTGCTCTGTCCTACAGCATTGCCATAAGTGGGCATCAACTCAAAGGCAACAGGGTTGGTTTCTGGTTTATCAGCGAGTTTGTTTTAAAACAAACGATGCTCTGTGGAATTGGGTGTCACCATGTGCTCTGCCCTTACACTTCCCTTCTCTGGGACCTACTGATGACACGTTACTCTCCCAGAGGATTTGTTTTACATTTTAAGTCATCAACATTTTCTAACTGAGTTTCTAGCAGCATCTTCAAGTCGTTCCTGATTCAACAGTGATTTTTGTGGTCTGTCTTCTCCGATGTCTCTACGATAACTTCTTGAAACGTTTTCTTCTTACTATGCACCTCTCCCCTTTTCTGATTGTGCCTTTCTAAGCTTCTCTTCATTCTTCTGTCCTTATGTCCGCCTCTGCCCTTCACCTAGACCTCTCACAGGTCTACATGGCCTATCTAAACAAGGCCTCACCCATCGCCCTCCAGAGACTTTCTCCTGCCTCAGACCATCAATTTGATTGCCTACTACTGCATGCTTGAATCCTTTACAAAAGCTGTCCTTCCCCTGGACTTTGACACTTCTCCTAATCACACCATTTATCCCTGGGACCCATAATGGAAGTTTCTGAGCTACTGCTGCGCTTCCTTCTTCTTTTTTTTTTTTTCAAAGAGAGAACTGTCAAGTATATAATATAGAATAGTTTCTGTATTGCCCATCTGAGAAGACTGTCTTAATTTTATTTTTTTATTTTTTATTTTTTCTATCATGTAGTCTCCTAGCGCTTCCTTCTTCTTAAAGCCCTTATTTAAGTTACCAACTTATGTCTGTTGTCATCTTCCCTTAGGCCACCCGCAGCTGAGTCCAGTCCTATCTCCCCAGCACTACAGGTCATTAATTTATCGGCCATTTGCTTCTTGATAACACGATCACTTGCCGGCATGATCTTGCCAGCAATGATCTCCAGTTGTTAAGACTGAGAAGTGCTCTAAGAAAGGTATGAAGACCGTCATTCTTAACTCATCTTAGTATCTCTCCCTTCCAATGAATTCTTCTGACAATATCATATGGATCTTCTTGAAATCCTGCTGAGATGGTCAATCCCCATTGCCTTTTCAGGGTGGTCCAGAACCATTTCCAAACCAAGGAAAACGAGTGCATGTGGCCCTTGTCTCCCTTGTTACTTTCTCTGGGCTCCTCCCCCTTCTAGTCTTCTTCCAGTCAGACATGTGTTTCAAGGCCTAGCTCAATTACGACCTCATCTGCGACATTGGCTGGGCGTTTCTCCCTCTCTGCACCCATTTCTGAGTCCTCGGCCCTTGTGATACCCTGCTGAGACAGGTATTATATGGCAGACCGCCTTGTCTTATTTACACGACCATAGGTCTTTCTCATTGAACTTACTGCCATGATTCAGAGTAGGGACCCGAAGGGGAGAATGGAATAGCATGCAGATGCCCTTCCTCAGGGTGTCTTTTCGAGAAGATTAGAATATAGGGATAGGTGTTAGCGTCCCTGAAACGGAAATGGTGGTGAGGCAGCTGGAAACACAAGCATGCTCTCTTCTAGAACTAGGAGTATCTTTATACTCTGTGAGCTTGCTCCAGTGCATTGCTTTTCAGGCCATTTACTTCACTATAATTATTCATGTCTCCTTGCATGCAAGTGTGGTACAAGAACTTTCACTAAACAAAAACCTCTCTCATTTTCCACTGCCTGCTTCAAAGAGTGGCTAATGTAACGACCAGTGCTGGTACGGAATGCCAAAATCTGTATCATTACCTTGCTCCGTTTCTTTTTCAAGGAAGAACAGACAAACAGCTGCTAGCCAAGTACAAATTGGACTACTTTTATGGAGTCTCATTTTCTAATTTGTTTTACAAAGCTCAATGAACATTTCGTTTCCTACTAAATTACCATGTGGCTTTGGTTTGTTCCTCAACTCAAACTTCAGCACTGTGTGTATTGAGTCTATGAATAATTTATACCAGGAAACTGAATTCACAAAAAATGGAAAATATTATACGTGGTATAAAATGCACGAGGAAAAATAACTCTTATTAAAGTAAGAAGAGTGAGTTGTTTAACTGATTCATATTCAGGAAAAATACTGAATTGCCAGAGCCCTGGTGGTGTAGTGGGTTGTGTTGGCCTGCTAACTGAAAGGTCAGCAGTTCAAAACCACTAGCTGCTCTTTGGGAGAAAGATGAGGCTTTCAAGTCCTGTAGAGTTACAGTCTTGGAAACCTACAAGGGCAGTTCTACTCCATCCTATCTGGTCAATATAAGTCAGGATCCACTCAATGGCAGGGAGTTTTGGTTTGGGTGGAGTGGCATGGACACTTTATCCCCTACACATTGGCTGAATATCAGCACCTGGGACACTCGTTTTATGTGACACATCTTGTAATCTTTTGTTTCATTCACAGGTGGTCACTGGTCATTGACTTTCAAATGCCCAGATGATCATTTTCTAGAAAAATAATGATATGGATGATAAATGTTTGCCTGTGGGATAAATCAGCAACAAATAAATCTAGAAATAGCCCAACAATGGTGACCCTCAGTTCATGAACCCATTGCCTGTCCTGATAAGTGCTTATGGCAGCACCCAGGAGAGAGTTAGGGTGGAATTAAACATCAATGTGTGATATAGTTAGTTTATTGTGCCAACCTGGCCTATAAACACATGCAGGGTTAATTGAAGGACAGAGCGATAAAGGGCTCAGTGAGCCTCGCCTTTCTAGTTCTCTGGTCTCTTGCTTTGTGATGGTCAGACCAGGGTGCAGCTGCCTTAGCCAGTTCCCTGCTTCAGTTAGCAAGGCTCATTTCCTGCAAGACATGCCCAAGGAGAAGCCGCATGGACCTACCCCAATGCAGGCCTGGGTGCTGGAGCACCTGTGTGGAGACGGCTTACAGCGCTGAGATGCTTACACGTTCACTGACTAGTCTTTCCTCCTGAAGTTGGCATCATAGTGTGTGTTTTCTGAGATGGAGGAGGGCTTTGTGGATTGGTGTTGGACATATGGGTTAATGGGTTAATGTTGGACTTGTGGGCTTGGGCAGCACTGGGTTGGGATGTTTTCTTGATGTGCACTTAACCTTTATATAAAACTCTCTCGTATCCATGAGTTTCTGTGGATTTGTTTCTCTAAAGTACCCAGACTAACACAATGTGTGACCAAAAAATAAAAAATTCACAAAGGACACGAATGTAAATATTTTCTAAAATCATGCATAGATCTAACAGGTTATAAACAATGTCAACTTGCTATTAATAACTCAGGCAAATGAAACATTTTTTTCAAATCCACAAGGAAACATGCTGCTTTTAAAATTTTAGGGAGCATTGAAAATAGGCAAAACGACCATTCTAAATACTTTGATTGACAAGACCCCTGAGACAGAGCCCAACATTTCTAAGCAGAGAAACAGCTCCGGGACCTCCCTTACCTTTCTTGGCCTCCAGGCCAGGCCCCAGAGCCGCCGTGGTGGCTGGTCTAAGTTCGGAGCTGCTCTGAGGGGTCACATTTGCTTTGGCAGTGTTGGCCTTTCCCTTCTTGTCATTCTTGGAAGTATCACTGGGCACATCTGCGATGTCACTCTGCAAGAGAAACCATGAACGTCCCCCCCACGTCTTGCACATTCCGCACTCTGCTGAATCAAGATCCTTTCTCCTGTCCCATTCCTCCTCTTCCTTTTCCTAGGCTTCAGCATCAGTGGATCTCTGCCTGGCACGTGTCAAGACAGCATGGCTTCCTGAGCTTCGAGGCGCAGGAACAAGCCAAGAGAAGACGACCCACGTACTGCACGAGTAGGGCAGACTTGAATATGTTCTAGCTACTGGGAACATTGCTGCTTCTACTTGAAGCAGAAGCCTCTGGTAAAGGGAACATTTTAAAACAAACAGGAAAGCACGCTGGAATTCAAGAAGGTTGGAGTGCAAGACTGGTGAACAAACACACACACACACACACACACACACACATCCATGTTATTTTCATTAGTTCACTGCATTAGGTTGGCTGGCATTTCAATGTACCATCAGAGCGTCTTAGGTCGTAAAGTTTCCTGACAGTTTGAAAAGTTTCCCATTTTGCTTCCAATGGGGATAGGGTCCCAAATGTGAGTCAAACCATTGGTGATGATGTATACCTTTCAGACTGTGGTCACATTTTGCTAAATCTTCTATAGTAGAGACTATTGAACGATTGGTTGAATGGAAGATTTCAGTTAAAAAAAAAACCTTTCAAAATATATTACATCATTTTTGAAAACTTTGAAATTCTTTTATAATTACCATTTTACAACCAACCTCCTCAGCTTAGAAGTCCTTAATTAAAACATTGCTACTTACGGTTTCAATGCCCATAGCTCTCATTTGGTCTGCTCTCTTTTCTGTAATTGAAAGAAATTTCTTTGGATCTGACAATGCATCCACAATATCTGAAAGAAAAACCACTGAGCTTCTAATTCTCTGTTTTAATGAGAGCATACAAAAACAAAAACAAAAAAACCCCAAACACTTTAGCTATTCATGATCCTGGGCCCCTATTAAGATTTTTACTAAGCACCTTCTAGGGCATTTTGGGGCAACGATGTGGTAGTTACATAATCTGGTGTCAATTTGGGACTTGAGAGGATTAAGAGTGAAGGGGTGGAGTCAAGTCTGTCAATCAGATCATAGCCAATGAGGCCTCCTCTGTGCAGGCATGGCCTTCTACTGAGAATTCTGCAAATTGTTGGATTTCCTCCGTGGAGGCAGGAGACTCCCTGCTCACTCCCTTGGAGACTCTCTCTCAGGACTCACTCCCAGAGAGATGCTCTACTGACAAGCCACATGGACCTACCCTGGTGCAGCCAGAACCCTGGACCTAGAGAAGCCATGTGGAGACCCCTGCCAGTGCTGAGATGCTTCTACCGCCACTGACTTTGCACCCACTGGCCTGTGATCTTCCTGCATTCAGCATCATTGCATGTGCTTCCTGAGTCTGAAGAGGATTTTATAGATTGGTGTTGGGCATATGGGCTAATATTGAACTTAAGGACTTGATCTGGACTGGGCTGGGTTGTTTTCTCAATGTCAACTGCTCTTGTATATAAAACTCTTTCCTATACACATATGAGTGTCCAAGGGTTTGTTTCTCTAGTCTACCCGGACTAACCTAATAGGGAAGCATAGGTAGTAGCAGAAAGGAATATCTAAGTAAAGGCAAGTGTCAATGACCAGGTGATTCTTTATCTTTGTCTTTAGTTTTTGTCCAAATAAAGACAGTACGACAAACTGAATAAATTGTCAAGGGTGCTCTGCCTCACTGTAGTTGCTTGTATGGCTTTGAGCAATTTATCAATGTTCAGTTTTTCCATCTGAAAATTATGGCTCGAATCATCCACCCAACTCACCTACCCTTTTCAAGGGAAGATCTACTCATGTTACACCTTCTAATGTGCTCCTACATGGGAACCCTCTGCTCTAGCCTTCCCACTGGCACATGTCAACGATGACCCGCAAGCTGGTTTGGTAGGAAACACGATTCCCTTAAAATATAATAATCTGTGGGGGGTTGAGACTATTTGGCATTTGTAATGGGTAACTGTACGTTTTTTCAGTATGGATAGTATATAATATTGTGATCATTTCAAGCCAATTATTAAGCCAATCTAGTAAAACATTAACGAATAAAATAATTCATAATCCTTCCACCCGCCAAACTATTTTTATATTTGCATATATCTATCTAATAGTTCCATATGAACAAATATTCATATGGCACACTAAAATTACATAATGTGTATTTCATGTATTATTACCTTATATCACATTGGAATCGTTCTGAAAATGAGTTTTAGTAGCTGGGTAATGTTCCATTGAATTTACATACTGAGCTATTCCCTACTAGTAGGTGGGTCCTCAATGTTTATGTAGCAGTGACTTGCAAGGGACATCGTAGCGCAAAAACAAACCAAAACAATAAAACAAAATAAACCAATTTCTTCCTCTTTTTAAAATAAAAACTAACAATTCAGTTACATAATAGAGCACAGCTCTTAATAAGCTTCAAAACAGTCCCTGAAGAATTATTAATGGGAGAAAAAAGTACTAAGAAGATGAAACAGATTAAAAGAGAAACACAGGTACACAAATGTTCACTGCAACACCCAATAATAGCTAAAAGGTACAAATAATCCAAATGCCCATTAACAGATGAATGGACAAATTGCAGTTTATACATATACCGGGATATTATCAAATCATAAAGAGAAATGACATCCTAAGAACTTTGAAAACATTATGGTGACAATTATATTGTACGTATATATCATATGATTCCACATAAATGAAATATCTTGAATAGGCAGATGCGTAGAGACAGAAGTTTATTAGTGTTTACCAGGGGCTAGGAGGGCTTATTACGTAAGGGGCAGTGTGGTATAGTAAAATTTCTTAGTATGGCTCTTCTACTCAAGCTTCTCTAACTCCCACCAAATGATTGGGTGGGCCTATACAAACAGGATGTGCATGACACTAAAAGGAGGACTGGTCAGTTTTTGTTAGCAACACCCTGGCTATAGGAAGAAGCTATACTTCGAGGCAATGGTAGAGAAGAGAAATGCTGAGGACCTTGGAAGAGCGCATTCAAGGACTCGGAAGGAGTGAAGACCTCGGAACCAGAAGCTTCAGAGACGTTGGCACCGAGACTCAGAGGGGCAGCACGGCGACTGTGGGGTACCTTCTCTTCATCTGGCCTCAGATGATGGAACTGTGGGATCGAGTGTCAGGCAGGCTGCCGTCCTGGCCCCCAGAGTCAAAGGTCAAGGGACCATGAGGCTGAGAGACTGATGACAAGAGAGAGACGATGCTATCCAAGTGGCTGAGAGACTGAGAACTGGAGAGGGAGACTTGGCTGCTGGCTGAGAAGACCAGTGACAGTATCCTTACTGTTGGGTGAGTCTGACTTGTATCAGACCATGAACTTGTCTAATAAACTCCCTTAATTGTGAATACTGTCTGTGTGTTCTGTGTGGCTATTGCAATAAATTATCGAATCCAGCCTAGATGTAGAGTGGTGTGGGACAAACGGCTGGTGTCAGAACAGGGAAGAAAGAATGGTCATCCTGCCTGACCCCTGACTCAGGGCAACAGGGAAGCCGGGGAAAGTCAGATACGCCCTCCTCCACGCTGTTTATTGCAGGCACTGGATTCAGTTTAGGGGGATCAAACATATTTGGAAAGGGGATCATGGTGATGGTTACAGAATGTAATCAATGTCAGTTAATTGTATACCTAAACATTGTTAAAAATGGCAAATGATATTATATATATTTAAAACTACCAATAGGAAACAAAACAAATGCACCCATAAACTTGATTACCAATGGTGATTGAAAAACAAAACAAAAAGGCAACTTCAATTCTTAAGTGTCTTTCCATTCAAAGCCACAGTGTTAACTCATCAGGCAGGTGTTAACAGGGTTCAGGGGGCTCTACCAGCCCCCTAGACTTCCCAAGGTCTTATTACAGCTCCATCAGGCACAGGCTTCATCTACAATCCTAGTGGCATTCATTCTGTTTACTGCAGCAATGTCTGGGGGTTAACCTCTAAAAGTCGATTCTACACCAATCTTTTTTATTTTCTTAAATCATTTGATTGGGGCCCTTACAGCTCTGATAATATTCCACACATCAATTGTATCGAGCATATTTGTACATATTTGCCATCATTATTTTCTAAACATTTACTCTCTATTTGAGCTCTTACTATTAGCTCCTCTTTTCTCCCTTCCTCAGCCCCCTCCCACTCTTGTGACCCCTTGATAAATGATAAATGATTGTTTTCATACCTTACACCAACTGCTGTCTCCCTTAACCCATGTTTCTGTTGTTCATCCTCCAGGTGTGTGTGTGTGTGTGTGTGTGTGTGTTGCATCAATCATTGCCATTGGTTCCCTCTTCCGCCCCTCCTCCCCACACCTTCCCCTATCTTCCTGGTATTCCTACTCCCATTTCTGTTCCTGAGGAGTTTATTTGATCTGGATTCTGTGTGTCGTGAGCTCTTATCTATACCAGTGTACATGCTCTGGTCTAGCCAGAACTGAAAGGCAGGATTGGGGTCATGATAGTGGGGGTGGGTGGGTGAGGAAGCCTCAAAGAACCAGAGGAATATTGTGTGTTTCATTGGTACTATACTACGGCCTGGTTGACGCTTCTCTTCCTTGTGACCCTTGTGTGAGGGGATATTCTACTGTCTACAGATGGGCTCTGGGTCTCTGCTCTGACGCCCCTCGTTCTCAACATATGGTTTTTTGTTGTTGCTTTGGGTATTCTGGTGCCTGTTACCTGATGCTGTTGACACCTCATAATCACACAGGCTCATGAGCTTCTTCCATTTGGACTTGCTGCTCCTATGCTATATGATCGCTTGTTTAACTTCAAAGTTTTAAGAACCAGATGCTTCATCTTTTGATAGCCAGGCACCACCAGCTTTCTTCACCACATTTGCTTATACACGCATTTTGTCTACAGATCATGCCAGGAGGGTGAGCACCACAGATGCCAGGTTGTTAGAAAAGAGTGTTCTTATGTTGAGGGAGGGCTTGAGCAGAGGCCCAAAGTCTGTCCACTTCCTCAATACATTGCCATATAAATATGTGTACATAGGCCAATACCTCTATTTTTATGAATTAATATATGTACATAAGTGCACACCTATGCTTATACTTCTATCCAGAGCTTTGCTTCCTAGATCGTTCCTCTGTTTCCTTTTACCTTCCTCCTGCCCCGTCATCACTCTCACCCTTCTTCTGCCTCTTAGTATTTCCTCTTAGCTAGATTGCTGTTGCTCCAACACCCCCAGGATCTCTACATCCTCCTCATTGTTGCTTTTAATTCCCTAGTTGTTCCCCTGTCTATGGCTTTTGCTCACGGCTCCTTTGCCTGGCCTCCTCCTCCCAAGTCCCTCCAGAACCATCCATCCCGGTGCTTTCTCCTCAGGCTTGGTTCCCATGCCTGTCTTACATAGGTAGGCAAAACAACAATAATGGCGACAAAACAAAATAAAAAGAAAGATTGAATAAGAAGACAAAAAACAAAAACTAGCAAAAAAATCCCCAACCCCTCGAAAAAGCATACCAAATTCCAGGTCTGTCTGCTGACCTTTATGACTATCTCCCCACCAGTCCTGGGAGTGCCGGGAACTGCCTCTCCTAGCCTGAAGTCTATTTTGGGGGCTCCTCAGGGTTTTTGTGACTTTGCATTGCTCCTGTTGCTGTTCCCTTCTTGTACATCAATCATTCTTACCTAGTCAATCCCACATATTGTATTGTATTATAATCAACCCACAAAAACACAATCTACTGCCACAAAGTGAAGTCTGACTCAGCTCACGTTCAGGACAGAGCAGAAATGCTCCGTCGGGTTTCTAGGGCTGTACATCTCTCTTCTGTGG